TTTAGGTCTAAAGAATAAAAATTCATCTTTGAATTTAATTTTAAAAATTAAAATTTTTACAGTCGACAATATTTGTAAGTATTCAATGGCACACTTAGTTCCAAATGAGTGATTTCTCAATCTAATTTAAAGTATACAATATAAAGTACAATAAAAATAATAATAACAAAATAAAAATGAAAATTATTTTATAACAATTTTATTTTTTTTGTTTTGACCTAGAGTGCAAGTGAACTCAAATTGGTTATAACGCTCATATACGGAAATTTCACACCTCAATTTTCATGTACACATAAATTAAATTATAAAATATAATAAAAATAACAAATTTTTAAGAATAATATAGAGGTTAGACTTAAAAATAACTCCCAAACTAAACTAAACTAAAGAGATTTGAAAATTTAATTTCAATCAACAAAGTCTCTTAATTTATCGTCGATTTATAATATAGAGTTGTCAACAATGAATGACAAGATAATTATGGCAAAAATTTTGTAATTAAATTACTTTTCTAAAAGAATTCATTCTGTGATATTCTGTTTTCTGAACAAATTTCTGTGTGTGTTTTAGTGCGTATCCCCTACGGTCCTAAGTCAGGATAATGAATTGTCGTCTTTTTAACATATTGGCACAAAATTTATCAAGCCTAAATGACTATGAATAACTTTGTATAACACCAGGCAATCGAATTTCAAATTTGCATTATTAAATTTTTTCAAATTTCAATTCCAATGTGTTACAGAAAATACTGCTAAAATTCTAAAACTATTAAAATTTATTCCACATTTTTTTAATAAATCATTAAAACAATTTTTAAAATTATAACAACAATATAAATTGTAAAATTTTGTTGACGGAGCTAATATGAAATTGTGATGTAAAAATTTTAATTTATTTGTATTTCTATTCTATATATGGTTAATTAATTCAGTGAAAGACAATATAATAGAAAAGCAATTCAAATGAGATTTGGAACTGAATTTTTCTCATACATACACCATGCATTATCTAATATGTTACACAATATATGTATATATATATATTCCATACATTTATCTATATATCTAATTCAAGGAGTTCATAATATAGTGTTTTAAAAATACATTATTACATTTGGTTGTTCGGAAAATAAATTATCATATTATTACTAGCAAGCACAAATATCATGAAATGTGTACAAAATATGTCGGCACTATTAAATATTTTTCGTAATATAAAAAAAAAGAATTGTTACTATACTTTTCTATTCTATTCTATTTAATTTCTAAATATTTGAAAGAAAATAGTTCAATAATTTTAATTTGGCCGTCTGTTTTTCCGCCCGTAAACAAATAATTTTTCTTATTTAATAAAACATTGATTTCGAACGAAGTTTTTATTTATTATAAAAAAATCATATTCACGATCACCTTCTAGGCCCATTTGTATCCAAATCTGAATAATTCTCCAAGATCAATTTTTCCACCAATTCACGTTACTTACGTACACGTTCTCATGTCTTTATTGATAATTTCTTAAGTTTAATTACGTTGATTTTAAATCAAATGAATTTTTTATTATAGAAAATTGCATAAATTAAGTGAAATGTGATTTTTTGCAATTCATGGATTTGAGCTTTTTTTTGTATTGTCAGTTTATTATAACTACCTGATATAATATCATTTTTCTAAAACAGACGAATTTAAATAACTTAATTTTTTTACCACACCATATTCACGTTTACAAACAATAGAAATAATTACAGTTTTTTCGCGGGAGGTGGATGATTTCTAATTTGTTCTTCTTCAATTAAGTAGGTAATTAAAGTAATAATTTCTTGTAGTAGTAACACTTGCGGTATATGTAGTATACTGTTCTGTATTTTTCGGTTTAGTATTTAGTATCGTACAAAATTTAAAATTTTTTTCATATTTAATGACACTAAACAACTATGGTGAAAATTTAAAAAATATATATTATACCATGTAAATAATTGTTCTTAATTATTCTTACTAACTTTCACTTATCTTAAAAGTATAGGTATTAAGTCATTGTCCAATGCCCACCAAAAATTTGAAATATGGCTGCTTTCACATAACTCAACGGCAAAAAGTTTGACTTTACTTGCTACTTTACTTAGCATGGCTCAAAATTCTATGGTGTCAAGTGCATTATTTAAGAATCGTTGAATAGTTAACTATGTAAAGGATGAGTCATTTAAAGTCATGTTTCAACTTGAAAGAAAAGTGACTCTCATCTTGAAGGATTAAATTTTAATAGCAACTTCGAAGCAAAATTGCAATAACCATTTTGCGTATTTTAACAATTATGCTAAAATTTCATAACCATAAAATCTTTAAAAACTTACATAATTATTATTGAGTACAATGACATTTTATTGCCATAAATAACAGATTTTTGCATACATGAGCGTCTATATACAGTTAAATGTATATTTGCATAAATCTCCTTTACAAATAGCATTAATCAGTTTATTGTGTAAAACTTAAATTTAAAGAACTCACAAGTTATTTTTTGTTTTCTTTTTTTTTCTACAATATTTTCTATAAATTACCTACATATGTTTAAACATTATCTACCCGCTTTAATCTTGACAAGCTCTAACATTGTATTTAAGTGCGTTATTTTAAAATGTAATTATAGTTAAAAATGTTCTTTATAATAAATGTTTTTAAATGACAATTACAAAATATAAAGCATTTTAATATAATATGACTGTCAACCATAGTGTACAAAAGAATAGTGATGTTTTTGCTATAAAACTAGTTTTCCTTTTGCAGCTCTGAGGAAGATGGAAGGAACAGTTTCGCATGATAACATTATGGGCTCAAAATCGCACTGTCGACACTGGTGATTGAAACGATCAAAATTACATGCGTTTCTTGCTTTGTAAATTTCAACCTTATATTTGAACATACGTTAAGGACAGGTGTCCCAAGTCAAGGTGGAATAGCATATACTGATGACCACTTGGCTAAGGAGGAGCTTAGTCGTTAATATGCGAGCTCTGGATACGAGGCGCCCTTCAGTTTAAATAAGTCATCTCATTATATGTTGTGCTACTTAAATTTCAATTAAAAACTAAAACAACAACAAGAACAACTACTCCGGAACTAAGAATTAAAAATAAATAAAATCACCCCTAGATTGAACGAAGTTTGCGAATTGTGTCAAATTTGGATAAGAACCGTAAACGAAAATTCTTTCCATTAATTTAAACGCACAAATATAGAAGTTGTGTGACTAACTACTGAAAAATACTGTTTAAAGAAAATTGTTGAATACTCAAAGAAACATCGAAAACAGTTTACCGATCATTTCTTCGTATATCTATGAGTCCATCCAGCTGATACTCTGACTCAGTCGTCCGCGGTCGGTCACTGGTTCGAGTTTAGTTTAAAGTTAAAGTTTTTTGCCTTGACTCGTTATTTTGGCTACGTTATTCATCTGTTCTGCAATTGTATGTTAAAAATTTCGTTTATTATTATAATTTTTCATTGATAACTTGGTAAAGTTCAATAAATTCTATAAACTTTGTAATAACAAGATGATGATGAATTTAAGTATTTCAGCCTAAATAACAAAATAAGTTATAAACTTCCCGTCAATTTTATGAGAAAATCATAAATTATTTTTTTTGATGAGAATAGAAAAACTTAATAATTGCTTGTCAACCATATTATTTCTAACCATCATCATTCACATGTGTACACACATACATATGGATAATGTTGCGGTTAAGTAAATTCTTTACAAATCATGTTTAGTTCAACCCTCAAGTTGAAAATTTAAAAATTTCTGTAACTATTTACTTACTAACTTCAATAGACAAAAGGAAAAACAAAATTAACAAACAAAATTAAAAATCTTTTGGAGTCGTTCGTTTTTATTTTTGTTTTCTAAGAGCGGAAGTTCTTTAAATTTACGGTAGCGATTCCAGTGGTAAATCTTTGAGGCAGTTGTTATACTATTATAATGGTTGAATTTATATTGTTGTACATTATAGTTTATAAAAAATTTTCATTAAATAAAAAACGACAAGAGACAAAAATGCTTTATTTTTTTTTTCAATTTTAAATAGAAAATTTATTTTCTTAATGAAAATTATTTCTTTCTCTTAATATTGAAAGCGAGGATTTTATATATTTTGAACTTAAGTTTGTTTAAGAATATTAATAGAAAATAATTTTATAGCTTAGGTTTACTACATCGTATAGCATAAATTCGAATAGAATACAACGTTCGGAAAGGATACTAAATTCTTGCACATTAGTAATTAAAGTTTTATTAAATATAAAATATAAGATATTTAACGCAAAATACCGTAAAATATTCTAAAAAATAGTTCAGACTTATGAGTCTTTTAATTTTTCCAGACAGACTTCTCAATTTTTCTAGTTCGTAACTTAAAATACCTACTGAAAGGAAAGTGAGCATTTTAAATGTGTTAAATATTTTCCATAACCTTTCAAGACCGTATTTTTTTTGCAATTAGACCAAATTCTAACTACGTTGCCAAAAATATTGCAATCACATTTTTGATTCAGGTTTGAAAAGGTAGTGATTGAAACCATGCCTTTGTTCCATATAAAAATATCAATTAAAAATTTAAGTTCCTCCAATCAAAAATTCCTGTTTTAAAAATCACAATTTGACAACATATTTACGACTTTGAAAACAACAATAGTGAATGGGGGATAATCATTACAATAAATAATGTGTACATAATTATTTCACCTGTAAGCTAAGAAATTAGTGTCATTTGAAGTTTTATATCGGAAAAATCTTTTACTATAAAGTTTTTTATTCAATTTAATTTTATAAAATAAAAACAAAAAAAATTAAATTTTAATTTTTTTTTAAGTAAATTTTCAACGGAAATCTCTACTTTTTTTCAAAACGTTCAAAATATTTTTATATAAAAGTTTAAAGCTTTCAATAAAAAATTTTAGTTCTTAGTTGTTTTTGAAGAGTTTCGCAAAGTATAACGGATTTTAAAAATGAAATATTACATAATATTTTTAATGGGATTTACTTCTGTATTAGCAGCAACAAATCCGCAACAAAGGGAACAACAAAATCAAGAAAATGATAATTTTACACAAAAAAGTAACGTAGTTGAATATGACCATCAGATACAAAATCGTCCCGAAAAAAATGATCGCCGTATCGATTATAATCGGAATCGTTCTTATAGCAATGAAATGAATGAAATTGCCAGAACTCTTCAAAATAATCGATATATTCAAAAAGCTAAACAATCTTACAATCAAATATTAAATCGTGATCAAAATAATCCTTATGAAATTGGTAGAGATCGTACATTAGGTGATGAGAAAGGATATGATTATGGTGTTGGTATAAGTGGTGGCTATCAAAGTGGTTTAATAAGTTCACAAGTATTGAAAATTGTTCCACCTTCTGGTAAAAAAGGATCTGATATACCACAGAATTATCAACCATCAGTAAATTTTGATCGAAATCGAAATAATGATGATATTTACGATAGATTCAATCCACCAAATAGAATTAGTTATACAAATAATCCACACCGTATTGATAATAATCAAAGCCCATTAAATTTTGATAATAGAAGACAACCAATACAACAACATCATAATCAACATCAATTTACAAATCAACCATATAATCAACCACCTTTTCATCAAAACAATATTCTTAATGTAGACTCTATTAATTCACATTTTTCAAATCAACCTTATAATCATTATCAACATCATCATCAGTTTCCATCTAATAATCATGCATCACCTATTATACCACATGAGCAATCACCTGGTCATGTTATATATCATCATGATCATGATTTAAATAGAAAACCACCATTTATACAAAATATTGCACTTGATGGACGTTTTGATTCCGATTTTATTAATGGTGATATATCAAATCAAGAAAAAAGACCATATCCACCAAATGTTTTGAATGTTTTAGATCGAAATAGACCATTATCATCAAATTTATATGATAGACATGATAATAAATATAATCAACATGGTTTTGATGGATCACTTCATACACCATTTAGCATAGAATTACGTCCAAATCACTTGGAGCGACCAAATGACAATGATGGAGGTAGTAATAGTATATTTAGTAGATCTAGAAATAATATTCAAAAATTTCAAAATGAAATCAACAGGAGATCTTATCAGAAAAGGCCAGAATTTCAAAATTTCAATTATGGACCATCTACTAAGGATTATTAATAGAAAAATTAAATTTAAAAAATTTATATTTGCCAATAGATTTTTTTAATAAAAAAAAAAATTTTTTTAGTTAATAAATAAAATAATTAATTTTCGAAAAAATTATAATTAAATTTTTACATTTGTGAATGAATTTAATGTGCAAATACGAGTATCGATTGATAGGAGCTATTTTCGACGTAATTTAAATGACTCAAATTACTTATGAACAGTTAAATGAACAGTTAAATAATCGAAATGTTAGTTTAGGTTAGAGTTTTCAACTTTGTTCAAATATTCCAAAAATCAAAGTGTGAATTATTGTATTATTTGCACAGTGATTCTTAAATTACACCTTGCGAGTGGCCCTCGTCAGTTTAATGCGTACAGTTCGCCACAACTGATATTTACTAAATAATTAAAAGATACTTAATACTACAATTGTTGAGCTGAGATTTATTGCTCGAAATAAGGATAAAATAAGTGATAACAATTATAGGTTACGTGCATAAGCTTTAATTTAAGAATAATTCGTAACAAATAGATAATATTGACATAAATTCATTTAACGGTTTGTAATTTAAAAAAAAAGCAAGTAATTGCATCGGATACCATTAAAAAGAGTAACGGCAGAACTTTTGATTTAGTATTCTTTTTTTCTTTAATTTTTCTTGCATTAAGTCGCATTTATTTTACAAGAATGTATAAAACTCCGGAGAATTTGTAGTAGAAGTAAAAAATAGCCAATAAATTGAAATATTGATAATTTGACCTCATTTTTTCCCTATAAAATTGCTTAGCTATTTGCCAGAACAAAGGACACAATTAACCCTTTTACTGTTCTGCGTAGGCTGATGAAGCAAGGATTTTCATATATTTAGAATGTTATGTAAAATACATATACCTTAGAACCGCAAAATGATTGAATATATAAAATATTTTATGATAAATTATTTAATTGCTCTTTAAACAAATTTTAATATTAAAGGAAAAAGAAATTGAATTATGTTATGAATAAAGTAAACATTATCCAAACCTTAAGTCGTGAGAGATTCATAATTCCGAATTAATATGAGTAAAAAATTAATTATATAGAAATTGAATAAAAAAAATAATTATATTTTATTAGAACATTAATTTAAAAAACAAATCAGAATTTCTAGAGATAATACACCTTGAAATAAATTTTTGACCAAACCTTTTTCTTTAACGCTATTATTTTGAGCACAATTTGCTAAAATATTTTTTAGAAAAATACACCTTTTAATATCGTTCTGTTTATCCGTCCGTGTATATTTATAAATTCCCCCAAAAAAAATTATGGCGTTTCAAAATCCTAAAAACGTCATAATTCTATACGAACCAAGAAGAATACCGACTTAGTTTTCTAACTATACGAGACAGCATAGACAAAGATTACGAAGAGTGCATTGTCGTTAACTTTACCGTAATCTTAAACCGGTTTTTTTTATTTTCAAATTTTTGACCTCGTTTTTCTCTTAAGCGATAAGATTTTAGATTCTAACAAAATTCTCCTCTTTCAAGTTATCGCCGCTGAAATTCAACAATATTTTAATTTTCAGCTTCCTATTTTTCCGAAACTGTATGGGTTTTTCTAAATTACTGTAAAATATCTAATATATAATATTTATCTTAACTTACATAATTAACCGTTGAATTCGACCATTACCTTAACACTATTGTTTTATACACTAAGCTTAACTCTCATCCTAAATGTATGCAATGTCATTTTGTTGTGTTAATTAAAATAAGTGGAAAATTAAATTGGAATTTTTAAAAAAGGTATTTTCAATTGTTCAAGAAAATGTGCTAAATTGCAAACCATTTCTATAATCCGAATTTATTTTTATAATATTATATTTGATTTATCAACTTTATTTTAAAAAATTTACAGAAAAGAGCAACATAACAGAATGTAATAACTTTGATTATAACTATAACTTACAAGATAATGATTACACTTATATGTAAAGTATGTCTTTAAGGCAAATCAATTATATTTTTTTTCTGTATAACAACTGCTAAGCAAAACTGCATAGACTAAATTGGATCAGTTTATATTCTTGTTAAGATTTTAAATATAAAAAAAAAAGATTTATAATAATTTAATTTAATTTAATAAGGTAAATCGTGACAAATTATAACAGTTATAAAATCAAAATATAAAATTTATAAGTGTAATACAAAAAAAATGAAATTTTTTTTTTTTTCTTAAAGTTTTTGAATTATACCAAAAAATCTATAAGGGAATTATTGAGTATAAATGCTTTTTCAAAGTAATTATTAAATTGTGCCTGAATTATGATCGTATTAAAATTAAAATGGTCATAAACAGCTAGTTATTTTTCAGACTCAACTATATTTATAAAAAATTAATGGGCTATTCATATTCATATTATGTTAGTTTAATGCATAAATAATTATTCTATATGCCCTGCTATAATAGTTTAATAGCTTTTACATGCACTTTCACAGGAAAAGTAATGGCGAATTTTGAATTTCGAATTGGCAATATTAAGGAAAATCAATACAAGTACTTCTGAATTCGAAGTAGTCTTTTCAAGTATTATAACATTGGCTAAAAAGTCATAAAGTATAACGTCTATGACTCTCTAAGATCAGTAAAATCTGTGGAAATGTTTTAAATTCGATTTGTTACAAATTTTACATAATTAATATAGAAAAGAAAATTTGGCTCACTATCCCTTTATTGTGGGAAGGTTCAGAACTGAAAAGTTTAGAACTGTCGGAGAATAAACAAAACTTGAGAGGCACAAATGTTGAATGAACCAGTCGCCTTTAATGTTGCTGAACAAGTCGCCGTACAGATCGCCCCAATAAACAAAGATTTTTCTCGATAAAAGTCCCTTTTCAAATCAATTCCTTATACGCAAAAGTATATATTGCACTTTGCACTTTCAAAAATGCAATATCAACAAAACATTTCGACCTGAAGCAGGATCCTATTTGACTTTACTGCTATATATTTAACTTTCTATAAGTTTCGTCTAGAAAAGTTGTTCTTACATTTAGCCTCTAATACATTCTCGCTTCTAGACAAAGGCATATTTAAATTCATATGTATATGTAGTACATACTATTTTTTCTTGGAATTTTTTGGAAAAAAAATTATTTGTATGTAAATTTACAATAATATGTGTGCGTATATATAAGTCCGACTTACAAGTAAATTAAATTACTAATAAGAAGATTTTGATACAAAATAAAAAATTCTTGGACCTTTTAAAAATACTCCTTTTTTGTAAGTCGCTGCGAATATTTTTCTTATACACAAGAATATAGGTGTGAATGCAAATAAATTGCACGTATTTTCAATCGTAATCCTTTATAAATCATACCTGACGTCGTTAATCCTTTTTTAAAGATATTTTTCAAAATTCTTTTACAAATTGAATTTTATGGTAAAATTTCTTATGTAAACATTTAACACATTAATTTAGAATACCATATTTTCGCTCCTAATGTGTATAAAAACCACTTTACAGCAGACTACGCACTTTTTATGAAAACAAGTTAATATTAAAAGTATATTATTTCGCGTGGCTCTCTTCATGTTTTCATAATCATATGCCAAATGATGTAATTCTGAATGATATCAAAATATTTTCTAATAGTAATAAAATTATCAGTTTACTATTGCTGGAGAACTGCTTTAGTTCAAGTTTTTTTGTTTCTTAACTAATTACTTTACACTTTTCATAAAAATAACGGCATTTTGTCCGGCGATTTCAAATAATCCAGTTATACCAGTTAAAAATTAAATTTAAGTAATTGAAAAATTGCAACTTTTTTTTTGTTGTTTTTTTTATTTTTAACTATATTTTCTTTTAATTTATACAACATTTACAATCGAAACAAATATATACATATATACACATATATACATATATATTTATTTTCCACAATATTTCCATTTTATTTGTTTTTTTAATACAATCCTTATTTTTTTTGTGTTTTCATCAAAAACCGTTCAATATTTTATAAATAAATAAAAAATCAAAAAAAAAAAATTTTTTTTTGATTTTATTTACCACCAACCGCCATGACCATATCCACCATATCCACCATGACCATGTCCACCATATCCAACTCTTACAACACGACCATATCCACCATGACCATATCCACCATGACCGTATCCACCATAACCAAGACCATGTCCACCATATCCACCATGATATCCATGTCCATAGCTGCTATAACCTAAACCATGTCCTAAGCCATGACTATATGAACCTAATCCATAACCGTGTCCACCAAGTGATGAATAACCACCATGGCCAAGACCATGTCCACCACTATATAAGCCGACAGCTGAACCACCATGTAAATATCCAGCTGATGCTGCAGCAATAAAACTTAATAAAACGATGAAGAATTTCATTTTGAATATTAAAAATTTGAGATTTTTTTTTTTAATTAAATTATGATAGTTGTATTTGATGTGTCAAATTGAACTGATAACTTCTTAAAATTTGTTCTCGCTTTTTATATGAAAAATTGAAAATTGAAACAGTAAGAAAAAATAAAAAAAAAAAAATTATAGAAAATAAAAAATCATTTGCAAAAAAACAAATTTTTTTTTTATTTTTTATTTTTTTTTTTTTTGCCATATTACATGAGAATTGGCAAAGATTGCTCGCATTTTACTTTTAATTTCATTACAACGGAAACTCGAAATTAATATTAACAATTCTTTAATGTTGTTTTTTTTGTTTCTGTTGCATTATAATTGTTGTTGTAATTGTTGTTATCGTACACAGTTTATAGATGACTTTGTTGTTGTTTTTCGTTATTTTCATTGTTTCATTAATAAAGTTTAGTAGTAGAAAATAACAAATACATTATAACTGGCATAATATTGTACATTTACAGTACAGTACAGAGTATAATAACAAAATTTAATATATAGAAGGCCTTCTGACATAAAATAAGAAATATAATAATAATAAAAACAATAATGAATATGAAAATTAAAAATTCGAAAGTAAAACTTCTTATACGTTATTATAAAAACATTTATAAACAAAACAAAAAACCCAAGAAGGGATAAATTGTAACATAAACGAAAACGCCACTTAAATTCATTCATCGCTATCCTCCTATATTCAAAATATAGTTTTAATCAAAGAGTATAGTAAGTAAGTATGTATATTTTATGTATCACAAAGAATTCACTAGTAAATAAGCAATAAAAAGTACCTATGTATATACATACATACATACATTACCATATATATATATAGACATAATTAAAGTTCAGCTGAGTAATCGAACTCACTTTAAATTAATGTTATTGCAACTTATTGCTGTTTTTATGCTTTTTGGGTTTTTGATCTTTTTGTTTTTGTTGCTTCTCATTTTTCGTTATTGTCTCACTCATGATTATTCTTATTATTTTGTTGCATTGCATATGATAAGACAATAATTGTTATTGGTAAACATTTTAACATCAAAAAGCTGGAACATTATTGAAAAAAGAAAAAAAGAAGACAGTAACAAATATACATACATACAAAGGCATACATAATAATTCGGACAGGCAAATGATTCACAAAAGCAAAAAATAAAGAAAAACCAAACAAAATTGTATAATAGTAAGTAATGATGACAACAACAAAAAATTAAGAAAATCAATATTGTTATAAAATTTATAAGATAGGGTTGCCAGTCAGAACAAAATTTGTACACCATTTCAAAGGTGAAAGAAAAAGTAATTTATTCGACAAGAAATTAAAGTTACACAGCATATATGATGATCAGCCAGTGACACCTTAAATCTCAAATCTTACAAAAAGAATGGGTGAGTTTTGAAAATGTAAGAAGAGTTTTGTGTGTGTTATATTACATAAAAAAAATTATGTATACCGAATATTCAAAAAAAAATGTCCCTACTGCTAAAGTTACCAAATGATATGTGGTATAATGGTGGTTGATATGTGGTAAAAAAAATTTCCTAAAAAATGAACCAAATTGAGAAAGATTCTTTCAGTTTTTGAGGCACAAAAAAAAATATCGCAAAACGGCAACCCTGATAGGAATAAGAAGAAATATTGTAATATGCGTTTGTATACACATAATTTATGTACATACATATACATTAACAGTTGAACTAGTTAACCCAAAGGTACTTAATATATTATAAAATTATAGTAATAATTTTAATATTCAAAAGATAACGTTATTAAAAATTATTTAATTTTTGGTATTAATAAAATTCTAAACCATTAAATTTGTCCTGTTTTCGTATAAAACATTAAATTTTGGTTTAAAAAAAATCAAATATTGCTTTGCATTATAACTCTAAAAATTTTACTCAGATGTTTATAAAAAGCAACAATTTTTTACAGGATATTTCTTTGAAGGAAGAAATTACAAATTCATATGAGTGAATTGATCTATTGCGAGAAAACGTAATATCTATGAAAGTTGATGAAAATTCTTGTAATTCGATCTGCACAATGTATTCTTTAATATCCTTATTGACAATAATTAATGAAATTTTACAAGTACATACTGTTCGAAATATGCATTACAACAGAAGCGATTCTTTTAAGGACAACACTTTGAACGATTCTGGCGTAGTAAACGCCATTTTGTATGGAAATTCTATTTTTCAGGAGACAAAATTTAAATATAGACTTAAATTTCAAAGATTTTAATATTTCTTTTGCATGGTTTATTATTCGCATTAAATTTTTGAAATGGAGCCAACAAATTCACCAAACATATTCCGAGGGCACTTACGACTGGTAAGACAAAATTTATATCACAAAATATATATTACATATTACTAAAATTTGTTTCTGTTGCAGGTTCCTTGTTGAATTTGATAGTTAGATTTATTCTCTTATATGTAGAACATATGGAAATATTGCAATAATTCTTCTACATACACATTTGAATTATTCAACAATTTAATTTATGATCATCTTTAATTAAAGTAATCTTTAAAATCTTTTCGTCAAAACAGCATACCTTCTATATCCATTTAATTCACATTAATTATTCAACATTTTTCGATGTTATAATTATTAAAAAAAAAAAATTACTGGTTTTTAAAAATATTTACAACACATAATTTTCAAATTCTTTAAATAAAATTTGATATTAGGGAATATCAAATTACCATATTCAAAACTTATGCGGCAATTATTTACCAAGTGAAAATTTTTGCAAATGCTATATAAAATCTATATTCATAATTATTATTTTTAAATATACTATATCAATTTAAACTATAACTAAGTACACTTAGTTTTAACATGTTTGTTATACAACTTATCCCACTATCCTATGTACATGTATGTATATCAAATATTATAAAAAAAAACATTTATCAAATAAAATTTTCCAGTAATAACCATTATGCAAACTACGATCAAAACTTGAATTACAAATAATTTTTGTTTTTTGTTTTTTTTTCTTTCATTTTGCTTGAATAAACATCATAAAACATACTGTACGCGAAATGTTAAATATAAATATAAAAAAAAAAATTTCATAAATTTTATAAGCTACCAATTTTTAATTAATATCGATCAGGATTTTGAATTTTCAATTATGTATGTATGTATGTATGTCTCTAAGTGGCTTTGTACACGCGTAATATGCAATATTGTACATCAATAATAAAATCGCAGAAAAAAAAATAAGAAATAAACGTGATATTAGAAAATTTTATATTGAAGAATTGTGTAAGAGTTGTTCAATGATTTCAGATTTATTTTGATATTTAAAAAAACTACTTTTAATCCTTATCTAATTTTGTAATGATTATTTACAAAATCATCTTATACGTAGGAAAAAGTAAATCTCTCATTTAATTAAATTTGGCATCTTTAGACTAATTACATTAATTTTTTATTTTATTTTTTTGAAAATTTTCAGATTTTCGGCGGCAAATATAAGATGGTAATAATTTAAATATTCCCTTGAATTAATTACTTTTGTCATTTAAACGAAATAAATTCGGATAAGGTCCATATGGTTTGTAAAGTAAGTAGTACATTTCTCATAAACAAGTGAAAGTACTTTTTTAAAAAAGAATCTTCTACTTATTATTCTAATCATAGATAAATAATTTTAAATTAATTCTAAATTAATAATTATTGCATACGTTTAGGATGACAACAAAAATTATTAGGAGATTAGAAATTATTAGAAGATTTTAAGAAAAATTATACCGAGTTCGGCATCTATATCGGTTAATTAAGAGAAATAATTACATTTAAGAATGCACAATTTTGAAAAAATAACAAACTGGAATTTTGCTATTGTTTTGTGGAAAACTTGGAATTTATTTTGAAGAGTGTCGAAAAAAATATTGCTCTGATTTTATTAAAATTTACTAATTTCCACAAACAATCAAAATCTCATAAACTTTTGCTGTACTTACCGTCTATAAGAAATAAACTAAGAGCATCGACGGATATGCGGAAACAAAAACAGATTTAAAACTAATAACACTTAATTTAGCAGTAAGAAGAGCAAGTCAAAAATTTTTCTACATTTTCGGAAGTTAAAAAATATATTTGTGCTTTCGCTACTAATAAATATAATCAAAAAATTGCATTTTTAGGAATATAAATGCTGTAAGTGAAGCTTGACAAGGACGAGAAGAAGTATAAAAGAAGATGTAGTCTTTGATGAATGAAATAGATAATGGTATGCTTTCATGGTTGTGTATTTCAATGACAATCGATTAGATCAAATAAGTAATCCATAGAAGAAATCTGATAAGCAATTAATGTAGAAAACAACGTGAAGAACACTGTCAATTTTTAACATAAATCCTATGTTAAATAATTCATCCAAAATACAAAGAAAATTTAAAATATAAATGGCATCATAAACCTTTTATATTGTTTACAACAACATGTCGTTGTTCATGATTACATAGCGATCTACATCATGTATTAAAAACCAAAACAATAATCTTACACTAAAAGATGCAAAACAAAACAAAAACCTTTGTGGTTTTTGCTTTTATTTTTTTTTTCTTAATTTCAAGTGTGGCAGCTGGGAAAAGAAAAAAAAATATTTTTAAACGGTTTTTCCTTTTTTTCTGCTAATTTTTATTGCACATAATGTAGATCACCTTCTGAGATATTTTTCTTGTATTAAAAAGCAAAAAATAAAATCACAATCATAACAAAACGGACTTGAAATAACTAATAGCGTCCAGTTACATAATGAAAAAAGACTCTCCCATCGGACTAAATTTCCAATTCTTTTCATTAATTTCGACACACATTTAGTTTCTTTTCTGTTTTTTTTTGTTTTTTTTTGTGCAAAAAGGTTCATTGACATTCACTTTCTTTACATATCGCGTTCATTTTACCAAAATATTATGTAC